AACTTAGTGTTGTAAAAACAATGTCTATATCATGGAAAAAAAAAATAGCAAAACATGCATTGGAATTGTATCCAATCCCACTGATAATGAAGGCTTGGGGGAGTTAAGGGAAAAAAAAAAAAAAAAAACTGAGAAACAAGAATGGCCCCTTCCTTCTATTTTCCTCTTATTTGAAACCAATTAAAAATTCTATACAGTCTAAAGTGAGACAAACAGGATTTATCATAGTTTCACGCTATCATAGTTTCATGCTATTGTATTACCCCCTTGAAGCGAAAGAAAATATTTGTAGTTGTACCTAAAAATTCCATCGCTGGAAGATTTTAGAAAACCAGTTTTGTATGTTTCAGGCTTTCAAAGGAAAACAGAACTTTGGAGTTTTCAAGGCTGTTTTAAAACAACTGGCACGTTACCAACTCTGGATATCAATGCAAATCTGAGGCAGGAAGTACTAAGGAAATTCTAAACTCATTCCCTCCCTCTGCAAGATTTTCTACATTTTCATGTGTAAGGAGTGTGTTACAGGGTTGTTTTGTTTTGCTTTTGAAGGATCTGTACATTCACATCTTTAAGAATATCCTTCGCCCCACAGAAGCCTCTCTTCCTTCACTTACTTGTGTTTTCAAGTGTTTGCTCATTCTATGGCACAATCAATTGTGCTTCAGCTAGACTTGTAGAGACGGGTGGCTGCAGATGGTTGAATATTCAGCCTGAAATCAATGTGCAGTTGATTAATTACTCCTTACCTGGCCCCTTCTTCATACCAGGCTCTAAACACAATCTGAGTACCACCAGTCAAAGAAATTCTGTTTAGGTCCACTAGTCTGAACCCCTTTCTTCAAGACCTTCTGGGGGAACCGGACGACCAAAGAAGGGAATTCAGTAAACTCATGTGAGAGCAGCATCATTAGAAACTGTGCACTGGATTGGTAGAAACATAGTGAACTGGTAAGGGTGTGGAAAAGGAAGAAAGGAGAAACTCGCTGTGTATGCTTAGGTGACTTTTTAAGTTTTATGAAGATGACTAAAGTTTTCCAAATATATGTGAGAGAAGTATCTATTTCTCAGCTGGAAAAAAAATCAATTCACCAGGCTGTAACCAGGTTTTCTTCTTTTAAGCTTACCTAGTTCAACGAAATTTTTTTCAAGAACCCCCTACTCCCCACTCCCACACCTTCCCCCCATCCCCCCAGCCCTGCACCTTCCCCCCCCCACCCCACCCACACCTGGTAAGTACCTCAAAAATTCAGAATGAAATTCACCTGGAATCTCATAATTCAACAGCAACAGGTTGCTTTTTTTTTTCGGAAAGGGTGATAAAATATTTGAAAAATGTTGGATTACAACTAATCAAACATTTTATATTTTGTCATTAAGCTAATGAACTATTTTTTGAGCCCCCTTTCTCTAAAACTTGCTGATTATTCTGGTTGCCCCTTCCAAACAGCAAATTTGCCTTGATAAACTATTTTTTTCATCCAGCTGTTTCTTATTTAAATATTATAAGATGTCACTAAGATTTCTTCATTATTCCTTAACCAAAGTAATGTTCCTCCTTGAAATTGCTTCTTTTGGTAGGAAAAAAAAAATTCATCAAAAAGAAAATTGACAAATGACAATGTTTTAAAGATGTGAGGTGTGAAAGAGGGAGCATAGGATGATAATATTGTTACACATTATAGCTACGAGTCAACCACTGGGTTTTCATCTTAACTTACATGTATATTTTTCTAATATAAAACATTTTAAGGATTTGAAAAATTATTTGAAGGAGCATCAACATTTATTTTTAAAGAGGCAAAGTTGAGAGATTGGTTGCAATGCAATGTTAAATAACAGGAGCAGAGAAGGCAGGGAAGTGTCACAAGTTCTTCTAAAACTTTACTATGTATTCCAGGGAATGGAAACATCTGCATTTATTTCTTTTTTTTTTTTTTTTTTTTTTTGAGACGGAGTCTCGCTCTGTCGCCCAGGCTGGAGTGCAGTGGCCGGATCTCAGCTCACTGCAAGCTCTGCCTCCCGGGTTCACGCCATTCTCCGGCCTCAGCCTCCCGAGTAGCTGGGACTACAGGCGCCTGCCACCTCGTCCGGCTAGTTTTTTTGTATTTCTTAATAGAGACGGGGTTTCACCGTGTTAGCCAGGATGGTCTCGATCTCCTGACCTCGTGATCCACCTATCTCGGCCTCCCAAAGTGCTGGGATTACAGGCTTGAGCCACCGCGCCCGGCCTGCATTTATTTCTTAAATCTCATTTTCATTTTGTTTTATCATTAAAAAATAGCAGAGGTATTTATCATTACATAAGAAGAAAGAGTTCAGCATGTGTGCATTCTCTGAAATAATATAGTAATAAACATTTCAATCCTTTAAAATCCCATGAAGATTTTCCCCCAAAAAAACTAATGATAGCAAACAGCCTTTATGGATTGGCAGGAAGAAAACCCACCTCAATTAAGAGAAAAATTTAAGATATGTTATCACCAGAATGTGATTTTGACCTACCGTAGAATTCTATTTTCATCAAATGTAAGTGTTCTTGATGTATCAGCATCATTTAAAATAGTTATGAATTTAAAATTAGATTATAACTCTAAGCCAAGGCTACAAAGAGTGGATTTTATGAATTCCACCCAGGTTTACCAAATGAATATAAGCAGCATGTACTTCATTTAAAATTATTATAAATTATATTTTGAGGTATAAGTGTAAAAGGAACAAAAAGAGATATGGAAATAACCTAATTGTTTTCCTGTTACACTGAAACATGATGGTGCTTCATTGTATACTGTTAACCCTGTCAGAAACTCCCCAGCACCCCCATTTTAAAATATGATTGCACATTGACTCTTCACCTCATTTCCTCTCTATGCAAGTTTCAAAACAGGGCACGTTTTCACATCTTCAGCTTCCAGAAATGCTATTAATGTCTGTCATTTCAGAGCCACCATAACAATATAGGACAACTTCAAAGCATTGTCAACGTTTTACAACATAATAATCAATATGAACTACCATGATAGGCAAAGTAGCTGATCTTATATTCCCTACTATCCTGATCTGATTATCCAAATATCAACATAGAATGCCTAATGGATCTAACTCTTTAAAAATGTTCCAGAAGTTGATGGCGTTGGCTAGCCTGAGAGTAACAAGATCCAGATGCTGCCTGTCTATACAACACTAAATTACATAGAACTCCAAAGCAGATATCTAAAATCTCCCTATTTTTCAGGCTCTTCTCTTTTCCCTCACTACTCCACTCTCCCTCTTTAACCCCCATCTTTCTCTCTCTCACACACACACTTTCTACTAGTATAGCTCATCCAGCACCCTGTGTCTTTGAAAAAAATGTGCATAACATTCACTATTTCCTGTTAGTAATAGGTTAAAAGAGGTCTCAAGCAGAAAAACAATTATGTTATTCATTTCAATCTAAAGTTTCTTTTCTGAATATACATCATAGTAGAAAACAAGAACCCAAAACAAACTATAATTTTTGAAATGAGTAAAAGGGATGGAATGTCTGATATTTTTCATGCAGCCTTTGAGTTTATTGTTTTTGTTTCGTTGAGGGATGAGAAATGACTGTAAATTTTCCCCTTTTAACTTGTCCTTGCTCTGCCATTTCCTTGACGAATGGCAGGCAGCATTCTCTACCTAACACCCCCAAAGAGTTAAAACTCGAGGCACCAAGCAGGAGGGCTAGTCTATTTAAGCATCAGCAGCACAAACTAAATGCTCACAAAGGCAAATAGCAGTGTGAGTCGACCTTGGAGGGGCAGGGTGGATTATAAAGCAATTGAAAAAGAAAGAAATAAAGCAACAATCTTTCATATAATACTGAAAGTCAGCTTGCCAGTCTGGTATACAAATAGGCATTGTTGGATGAGACAAAATAAATGAGACATAACTACAGCATGAATTACCAAACCCTAATCACATCACCGAGTCCTGGTGACAGCACAGATCATTCAGGCATGCCTTGTTCACTCTCGGCATATTTATTTATTAAGGAGATGGTAGAGTCTGGCTAATGCTAATGCAACACAAAGTAATTATCACCCATAGTCTCGAGGTGGTCACTCCGCTAACATGTTTTCCCCTAATCAAGTCCAATGTAATTGACAAATTGGAGCAGTGATTTCACACCTGAGAGTCTTTCATGTCTTAACTGCAGGATAAAGTTCAGGGTAGGTACTGCCCACTGCTTACTTACGTGGGCTTGCCTCTGGGCCCCTAATGGTCATTTGAGCACACACACATAAAGCCTAAAGTATTTAACCAATTCAAGTCCAACTATTATCAGTTACATTTCATTCCTTTTCAAGACTCAGGCCTCCTCATGGCAGCTACACAGAAAACTAGATCTTCTAAAAGTAAAGAACATGTATTGTAAAGCTCCGAATGCAGTCTATAGCATGCTGATCATCTTCAATATAAAATAAAATATGCAAGGCAAATTAAAAACAAAAATAAACAAACTCTCAGAGACTCTGGTAGGAGCCCTATACCTTCTCACACCCTTCTTTCATTCTATACTCTGTGATTAAAAGTTTGAGTTACCCCCACCCTGGCACGTCCTATCCAGTAAGAAAAACCCTTTAGAGCCACAAACAAAGAACAGCTCACCAGAAAAGCCCCTGAAATTATATTCTTGTGCCTGATAATCACTGTTGTGATCTGCTTTCTAAAATCCGTGCCCATCTGCAAAAGACTTTCCTGATATCAGGACCATTTATGCTGCCAAATAACAACAAAGGAAACTGAACTCAAGTGAAACTATTATTTCTCCTTAAAGAGAAAGCTACAATTCGGGGTTTGCTGCTTTCTTCTTAGGTCTTCTTCTGCCTCATTAACTCCATTGGTATGTCACTAATTTCAAAGAAGCAGGAAGAAGTGATGGGGGTGGGGGTTAACTAATAATTCACACGCCTGTCTGTTTCCCATCCCAAGTACAGAAGGATACCACACTGATTGCCAGACGGTGGGTGAAGCCATACCTTGGTTTGGAGATAATGAGGATAGTAGTAAGTGTACTGGGGGTACATTTGTGGCTGATCCAGGCGTTTGCCCATGTAGCTGGAATCTTTATCTCCGAGGCAGGGAACTGGATGACAGGGTATAGTACCCCAGGCCGAGCTTCCTCTTAAACCACTATTCCTGACAGTCCCGGTGACTGATGAGGCTTGAGACTCCACCACTCGCTAGTTCCAACACAGCAAGATTTTTTTTAAAAAAACAAAACAAAACAAAACAAAACAAAAAACACACACCAAAGGAAAAAAAAAAAAAAAGGTGAGGAGTGAGATCTGTAGAAAAACACCCACACACAGCCTTCCCAGATCTTGCCTGGCTTCCCCCAGCTGCCGGGGTCCACTTGGGATGAGGCAGTTTGTTCTCTAACCGGGCTGTCTGTAGTGATGTCAATTGCCAGCGTTCGTAAAGGGGGAAAAAATCAAAGTCCTTTTAACACAACTCCAAATCCTTGCAGATCAGCTTCCTGTCTCCTGGTTGTCTCCTTCCCCACCTTAAAGAAAAAGAAAAAAAGAGAGAGAAAGAGAAAGAAAGAAAAAGAAAAAAAGAAAGAAAAAGAAAAAAAAAGAAAAAGAAAAGGGAAAAAGAAAAAAAAAAAAGGAAAAAAAAGGAGAAAAAAAAAAAAAATCTTGTACAGCTTAGTTGCTGCTGTCTCCCTCCCAGAGTGACATGGTGTTCGGGGCTTGTCCTGTCCTTTCATTCACTTCCCCTCCTTCCAGCCGGTGGGTGGAACCGAGAGAGCCTCTCCAGGGAGCAGCGTACGCAGTCCAGAAGGCTGCAGTATTTCCTCCAAGAAAAAAAAAAAAAAAGGCTGCTTCAACCCCTGCTGCAAGCAAAGTTCCGATTCCCTCTGCTGGCTATCTCGAATAGCAAGCGATTTTTGCAGCAACGCTGCTGCCGCTGGAACTGAACCTGAAGAACTCAAATGCGGGCGGTGGATTATTTCTTATCCGTCCTCCATCTACCCCACACAAGAGCTGCTTTTTGTTCCTCTTTTTGCCAAGTTCCGAGGTAAGCCACCCTGCTGAACAAAACACAGAAGAGAGGGAAGAGAGGACGAAAGAAGGAAGGAGGAGAAAGGAAAAGAAATAAAGGCAGAGGAACTAACCTTGCTGGTTAAAGGGGAAAAAAGTAAGTCCCGGATGCTTTCAAAATCTGTTAACACACTAGAGCCAGACGCATCCAAGAGCTGATTGAGAAACTAACCTTTTACTACCTGGAAAACCCGGTGGATACTAAGTATTGAAGAAATTCTGGAGTCTACTCCAGGACTACTGTTAATGCCACATGTCATCAGATTGGACTGATCAACTGAATATATCAAAAATAATAACCCTTTTTATTACATCCATTTTGTAAAAAAAAAAAAAAAAAAAAGAAAAAAAAAAGAAAAAGAAAAGACATGACCCCTTAGGTTTATCAGATTTTTTTTTTACAAATAAAATATGTTTCTCCCATTGTCTCTCTCTTTATGATTATTTTGATGCACTGATGCTTTAATCACTTTACATCTAAATAAAAAAAAGAACAAAAATCATAATTACTTAGCGGAGTTTTTTCCCACCAATGATAATATTCTGTCATGTCTATCAGCTGCTACATTATAATACAAATTGTTTCAGAGAAAATATATTTCCTTAAAGGGCCCCTTTTCAAGGCGGGCGAGGCTAAAATTAGATGTGCCAGCTGTGTTTTGCTGCGAGTGCTCACGCATGCCCAAAGCGTGGGCAGACCAGTACTGAGCTCTTTTCTACTTTGTCAAGTCGGCTCTGTTCTCCTGAGCCCAGAGTCGCCTATTAAGATAAAAAGTCCCTGGTACAAATCCAGCTTCCTAGTCAAGAAGAACAGAGAATTTGGGCTCGGTGCACACATGGTGTCCATCCACATACAAGCCGCACCACCCCTGAAGCAACTGGCTTCCACAGAGGGAAACTGGTTTCCGGAAGCTGTGTGAGTTCATACGTGTTCCTTGGATACAAATAAGGATGGCAGATAAATAGTTTTATGTTTTACTTTTGACAAGAATAACAATCAGAAGGAAGGAAGGATGGAGGGTGAGAGGGTAAGAGAGTTAGGAGGCCCTGACAACATGGTGACTGAGAATATTAAATCAACCCCACCTATCTCTTAAATGTGTTATTTGGGGCCTCAGTTGTCCCATCGATAAAATAGAAATACTGCCAACTCTCCCGGCTGAAGGCAGCACGCTGAATCAGATACTTAAAATGACACTGATTTAAAAATCCTCCAGTGGCGTCACATTTCTCAGACAATAAAGTCCTGACTCTTTGGAATAGTTTTCAGGACACTTGACGAGCTGTCTGGCCCTGGCTTTCTACTCTAGTCTCGGACCTTCAACTCTGCCCCTCACATCCTACACCGGAGTCACTCTGAGCTACTTTCAGGACAGGAACAGGCTCTCAGAGCCTTCTGTCATTCCCTCTTCCTGGAGTGCTCTCCCAACTCCATCTCCACCTCTCTTACCCTTAAGCCTGTCCTTCAGGTCTCAGTATGGATATCATCTCCTCACAGTAGCTTTCTCTAAACCCTTCCTTCTCTGCTGCACTTTCTATTTGCCCTCATAGAAGGCTTATTCTACATGTATTTGCATGCTTATTGTTTGTTTCTTCCAAGATGTTCTAAACTCTAGGAGAGCAGGTCACATCGTTCTCATTTGCCTTTATATTTCCAAAAGCTTGCATAGAGTTGAGCACAAAATGGGTGTTCAGTAAATGTCTGAAGAACAACATGTTAAATATAATAAATAATTTTTCAACCTGACTTACATCCCTTTTTCAGTACATTTCAGTCCCTTTTACAGTCAAGAATTGACCTGGGTGCAGGATATAGAGGTACATAAATCAGAATAAGGTCCTTCTTTCATCGAGTTTGTATTTAGCGGGCAGGGGGAGGGGGGACAAACAAAGGGATAAACAAGTAAATATGCAGTATAATGTCAGGAAATACATAGTGCTGTAAGGAAATATGAAAGAGAGTAAAGAGAAACAAAGTCACAGAGATTCTACTTTAAACAAGATAGGAAAATGCTCTCCAAGGAACAGCCTTGGAAAATGCTTTCCTAAGGTCAAAGCAAGGGTGTGAACCATTCTCTGGGTATTATGCACTGTGAGAATACTTAGTGTTAATGCCTTGGATCCCATCCAGACTGCCTGGGTTCCAATCCTGCCTCTTCTGCATTCATCTCCCTCAGTTTCTTCATCCATGAAATATCACTATTCACTTCATACATTTATTTTGAGAACCAACCCAGATAAACACATGAAGCTTTTAAAACACCTTGTAACATGTTGGATCCGCCTAACAAATGCCAGCCTGCATATGGGGGAAAAGCATCCCAGTCATAGGGAACAGTAAGTACAGAATGGCCTGCAGTGGGACTGTGTCTTTAGAATGTGCAAGATCTGGCACAGAGAGGCTGAAATGAAGCAAGAAAGGAGTAAAGACCATAAAATGGGGTTAGGGAGGTACCCTTGGGCCAGATCATACAAACCTTAGTAAAGAACTAATATAGAAGCTAAATAACTGATATTTAACAGTACAGCAAGGACTCTATCCAAATATTCAGATTCTACATCTAGTCATCTTCAACTATAGAATGCTGTCATTTAAACAACCTACTAATGTTCCTCCAAGTTCTGTCTCGTAACACCAAAACCCAAGATTGCTTTGGCCAATTCTGTCACCATGGGCAAAGGTGGTCTTTTATTAATACATGGTCTAGATACTCCTTAGAGGGAAAATAATACTGTCTTATTTACAAATGAAAGGCCAAATAAATAACTCCTCAGCCAAAACTGATATAGCCCATTATCTGTAAAGTTCCCAGCATGTGTTGATGCTATCGGCAATTTCTACACAAAATTGTTACTTTTTTAAATGCTATTTGATTTCATCGGATTATTGTAACGTTTTAGGCATAAATTGTCATTAGCTTAAAAACCTTCATTGCACCTTTAAAGCTTTTCTTAAGTAATGCAAAGTAGGTTTACCACCTGTGGGAATTGTAAAACCTGTGTTTTTATTTTTTATTTTCTTCCCTCAGAGACACCAGTAGCCATGGCAATTCAGGAGGCAAGGTACATCAGAAATAGTTTTTATATCATTTCTGCTCTGTTGGAGCAGTAGCCCTTTCCATTTAAGTGATCAAGTTAAGGTAGGAGGTAGCTGGTTTAAGGCATTCTCTAAATCAGAAGACAGCTGCGTCCCATTTGCCAACTAACCAACAAATTTCATACAAATCCAAGAACAGTAAACTGCATCAAAGGGCATAGATTCTCACTGAGTCACATGATTCACAGAACAGACAGAAGAGGCACTGATTGATTGATTTTTATTTTTTATTATTTTTTGAGATGGAGACTTGCTCTGTTGCCATGGCTGAAGGTCAGTGGTGCAATGTCAGCTCACTGCAACCTCTGTCTCCCAGATTCAAGTGTTTCTCCTGCCTCAGCCTCCCAAGTAGCTGGGATTACAGGCGCCCACTACCAGGCCAGGGTAATTTTTATATTTTTAGTAGAGATGGGGTTTTGTCATGTTGGCCAGATTGATCTCAAACTCCTAACCTCAGGTGATCCACCTGTCTCGGCCTCCCAAAGTGCTGGGATTACAGGCTTGAGCCACCATGCCCGGCTGAGGCACTGATGTAGGACAAGCTTTTGACTAAGGGGCCTGAGATGATGCCTCAGACCTGCCATTGGGAAATGGGGAAGCGATGGCACCAAAATGCTGAAATGAAGGTCACCTGGGTAGAGATGAGGACGCTCTTCCAGTTCGCTCTTGACGTATCCACTCAGAGAATAACTGAGTCCTTTGTTTAGATGATTTGTGTCTTAAATTATAAAGATTTAGTCAAGGTTGGGCTCAGTGCCTCACACCTGTAATCCTAGCACTTTGGGAGGCCAAGGCGGGTGGATCACCTGAGGTCAGAAGTTTGAGACCAGCCTGATCAACATGGTGAAACCCCGTCTCTACTAAAAACACAAAAATTAGCCTGGCATGGTGGTGCATGCCTGTAATTCCAGCTAGTTGGGAGGCTGAGGCAGGAGAATCACTTGAACCTGGGAGGCAGAGGTTGTAGAGAGCCAAGACTGCACCATTGCACTCCTGCTTGGGTGACAGGAGGGAAACTCTATCTCAAAAACAAAATAAAATAAAATAAAATAAAATAAAAAGATTTAGTCAAAAGCAAGAGAAAAGAACAGAAGTCTAAAGACAAACCATAATTCTACTACCCTAAAAACTACATACATACCCTTCTATCTTTAAGAAGGACATGCATGACCTTGAAAGAAATTTTTTAGATCTTGGCATTTTATGCCCACTTAATTTAACTTTATGAAATCCCTCTCCAACACAGCAGTTGTCAAAGGAATGTTAAACATAAAAGTTGTTTAAAAAAAAAAAAAAAAAGATAAAATGGTAGATTTCAAATTCCAACATTAAGGTACTGTTACAACTTTTTATTATCTCAGCAGAATATTTATCAATAGTTTAGGAAAACACTCAAGACAAATTAGGAGAGACAACTAGTGATTCAAGTGTGTGTGGTCCAAATTTAAACAATAGTTGAATATAAAAATATTAATGTAAAGATGATTAAAATTGGCCTTGAAAGACAATATCAAACCTCAGGACAAAATTATACCATAATTTAGTTTGAGACATTTAATCAGGTAGAAAAGCAAGAAGAATTTAAAACAATGAGAATTATTAATTTCTACAGAGTTTTATTGAATACTTACTTTGTGCCTAAATAATCGAGGGTACCAATATAAATATTATTGTCCCTGTCCTCAAATGGATTTAACAACTCTATATTTCTAAACACCAGCCATTCATGGATAATCTTTGTTTTTTTCTCATATCTGAGAACCAATTGGTAGCAATAGTTATTAAATAGTTTTCTTGAAATTGACTTAATTTTTTTCTGAAGTATGTACTTTGTTAGAAAGCAAAAATGCCCATGAAGGCTTATGTCTATTTTTCTTCTATTATCTTTGCAAAAACTGCACAGCCTGTATCCTCTGTTTATATTTCCATTTTTCATAGCATT